AGAGAGAGAGAGAGAGAGAGAGAGAGAGAGAGAGTGTTACATCTTCGACTCACACGGGTCCTACCGGACCCGACTTAGGGCCGGAGGGACACACCAGGGCCTAAAGGCCCGACCTTTGGGGTTACAGGCCCTAAAGGCCTGATTTTGGACTATCACCCATCGGGTAGGCCCAAACGGCCCAAACGACACTTCGTTTGGGCCTGGCGGTGCTCTTGAAGCTGCCGCCTGCCGATTGAGGCTGAACCGTCCATCTGGACGGTCCAGGGTCTGGCCTGGCCTCGCAGCATTGAGGCCAGACCATTGCCCACCGGTATAAGTACCGGTATCCGCCTCAGTAAGGGGATCGGCCTACCGGAACTCTACCGGCACGGCATGGTCAGTGCTAGTGCACTGTTTTGATGCGCTAAACTTAGCGCAGGGGCTGAAGCAGGAGCGCAGCATAGCACAGCAGCGAGCGGAGCAGCAGCGGGCGACTGAGCTTGCACGGTGATAACATAACCGCCTGAGGTATCGGGAGCTTGGAGGGTCTCTCCTCCTCTCCCTCGCCAGTCCCCTCTCTCTCTCTCTCCTCTTCCTCCTTCTTCTTCTTCTATCTTCTTCTTCTTCTTCTTCTTCTTCTTCTTCAGATTGGAGACTATCCAGTTGGACAGAGATCAGAGTTGGATTTCGGTGATACGAGACTGTGGTACTTACCTGATTGGAGACTTGGAGATTGTTGAGGTTGATACTCGGCTGCATCACAGTTGGACACCGGTTACATCTGGACTCTGTTATCTCCGACATTGGTGACCTTTGGTCCTCGGCATTTTGATCTTGTTATATGACATTCTGGACTACCATTTCGGAGACCTACCAGACTCTATCTTTGTGACCTATCGGTGTGATATACCTCCTACCTCCTTCGTCTCTCCTCCCACCTTTCATCTGTGTATGTGTGTACGGGATCTGGGTATCGTCTATGAATGACCCAGACCCCACCATCTCATGATTGTATGTGTGTGGAGTGATGCCATGTAGGTCAGTCTATGTGAGTCAGTCTATGTGAGTCAGTTCGTTTATCAGACTTCCGCTGCATAAATGCTCATTCTATATTGGTTGATCTTTGGTTCTGCCCATACTCATTGAAGTATGTAACAGTTTTTGTATCGGAGCAGACCAAAACGGATCTGCTCACCAGGTAAGTCCGTTTAGAATTAGGTTATCATGTTTGATCTTCTAAATCGGCGCTGAAGTATTATCAAATTCAAAGTTGCAAATTTTCTTTTTTCGGTATTCTGGCTATTTCAGCATTTCCGTTTCAATCCAGTATTCGGACTTTTATTCGGATTTCTGTTGTACACGGTATGCTGTTTAATTAGATCCGAGAGATTGATACTAATCCAACATTCTGTTTGATTCGGATTTCTGGTTAAGTATTCCGTTTTTCGGCATTCTGTTGTAAATCCTATATTTCGTTTTCTTTTGAGATTTCCGTTGTCTTTCAGTATGGGAATTAGGGTTATGAAAATCTTTTGGTTTTAGATCAACTTGGGGAAACCCGAACGTTTTGGGACCGTAAATCCGGAAATTTCGCCGAAACGCGGAAATTAGGGTTGGGACCAAAATTTTCGCGAAATTTTTTTTCGTTC